AGGAGACAGATGAAGACGAGGACAGACAGACTGACCTCGACCAGCCTCTTCTTCTTGGACACGTTGTTCTTCTGGAGTTTCTCAGGCTGTGGCGTCGCTCGACTCACTGGAGGCCTGAAGGATCAATTAGTGTGTCTGTCAATCAATCAATCAATCAATCAATCAATCAATCAATCAACCAATCAATCAATCAATCAATCAATCAATCAATCAGTGAGCCATCATCTATTCATATCTCATTGGACTCAGATCAGAGACAAACAGGTGGAGGACAGACACGAGACGTCATGACGACCTGCTGACGGAGAAGTCAGATACAAACAGTTTAGTTATGTAGACGGAAGGACAGCAGAGACAATAGAGATAATAGAGACAATAGAGACAATAGAGATAATAGAGATAATAGAGACTGATAGTGAAGACAGACAGGAGAGAATAGATAATAGAGACAGTAAACACAAACAATAGATAGAAGAGATGGACAGTAGACAGTACAGACAGGCAGTCAAAAGAAAGTAAAGACAGATATTAGGAAACAAAGACAGACATCTGACAATAGAGACAGACAGTAGAGACTGATATGCACTAGTGGAGACAGTAGAGACAGACAGTAGACAGTACAGACAGATATACGGCAGTAGAGACAGATATGAGACAATAGAAACAGACAGAACTCTACTTAGTCTTTTCTCTTATACTTGGATATTTGGAACATGTCAGAGGATAATATTTCACTTTTCACAGAACGTGTCCAGCAGCTGCAGCTTTCAGCTACTTTAAGCTTAATTATGTGAAACACTGAACATGAATAAATCATGGATGGAGTCGGTGGAGCTGCTCGGTTCTGGTCCGTCCCTCCCACTGGACCTGTCGACCCTCCCTGAACTGATAATCAGACTTTAGCGCGCTGGGAAAAGAAAAGTTCAGCGTTTACCCAGCGCCTTAAAAACAAAGAATTAAAAAACTAAATAATTAATATTTAAATTAAAGGAGGGTGTGCCAGGTTGTTCTATATGTTAGCTTCATCCTGCATCTACATAAACACCAACGGGACACAAACACACGACACACTGACAGTGGGCGACACACACAGGTGGACACACAGGTGAACAGGTGTTACCTGGATCCCCTGGACAGCAGAGGGACAGAACCAAGGTACAGAGCTTTAGAAAACACACACACACACACACAACCACACACCTGCATCACACACGACACGCTCAAACACACGGTAAAGGCCTCGCGCCTCAGAGGCTAGCTGTGGCTACGGCTACATGCTAACAAAAGGCCACCATGTGTGTGGGTGCTGTCAGGCTAACATGCTAGTGTGGCTAATGGCGTCAACATGCACACACAACCTGAAGGTGTTCAGTCCTGCTGCTGCTATCAGGATTGGTTGGTCCAGAGACACCATGCGTGCTAGCTTACATAGCAGGAACCAAAGTCGCTGCACTAATCTGAAGGTGCTTCTCATTAAAGGTCCCACATGCATAAATCCATCGTGTGTCTTCAAAACGTTTTTGTGCAAAATAAAAGCTGAGAGAACATTCTTCTAGCACCTTGCTAACTAGATAGCCTCTTAGCTTTACAACCCAGTGGTAGCTTTACTGAGCAGCTACGTCCCATCTGAGGTCCGATAGTCGTCTAGTTTAATCTTTGAACACCTCTGACCCCCCTCAGTGCTTCCAGGTGATTCACTCTAGATGAGCAGCTGCCTCTCAGTCCACCAGGTGTATTTACCTTCTCCAGCTGCTTCGGCTAAACTCTAAACATCTCATCAAAAGCCCTGCTGTTGGCTGCAAGAGTGAACACAAGTGTCTGAATGCACTCCCAGCATCTGGGGAACTGAACACCCAGCAGATTACTTTTACTATTAATGGTAATGTCACCACAACAACAGGAAGTGTTTGCATGTTGTGCTGCTAATGCGGCTAATGTCACCATTATCTTTGATTGTGTGTCCACCGGTCAGAGCTCCGATTAATTCTGGTATTTTGTGCTTATTAATTCAAAGACAAACATTGTGAGACATTAATTTAAAAAGAGGGGAACGACATCGGACCTTTAAGGAACCAGAAGGATTCTAGTAGTTCAGTGATGAGGTCAACCAGCTGCTTCTTACAGTCTTACATCGTCTCAGAGGATCATCTCTAAGTGTCTCATTAATGTACGGTGGCCCCAAGAGGACAAGACGAGAGTGAAAGGAAACAGACATACATGCAAAAACAACAAACGTTCTGCTGGAAGAAGTCCAGGATGGAGGGAGGATGGTTTAAACGAGAGGCAGAGAAACGGTCACGGCTGCTTTAATGTTCTCTCTAATTCTTCGCTGATTGAAATAATTCTCATGCGTTCATATTCAGCCTGTTCTGTACAGCGTCAGATGTTTTCACAGACATGAATTAAAACGTAAAAATTCACAACAAATATCAGATTTTCAGCTCAAAACAAACAGAATGAAATGCATGAAAGCAACAAACTAAAATCTGGATTTTGTTAAATGATGAACTCACAGCTTTCCTCACCAGAGGCTGTTTATTGTATTTATTATAATATAATAATGTGCAGGTTCTTTTATTTTACTCTTGTCTGCAGTAGGTTTGACTTTAAATGAATAAAAGCAGCGTTTTACCCGTTAATATACACCCAGTAACCCATATATATCTGCAAATTACACATAGAATAACCCTCTGGAGTTTTATTTATTTGAAATTTATCTAAATTTCTACATATGGAGCAAAACATCATCAGTGCTTATTCATATATTTTGTTTAATTTTTTTATTTTAATTTTCTATCTCTTTTGTCCTAAAGTTGACATCTTTAATATATAAACATATTTAGACTCTTTATTGTGACTCCAAATGTGCAGTAGTGTCACAACCTGTATTTTTATTTTCCATTTTAAGGTACTGAGTGTATATTATTTGGAGAAAATGTGGATTTTATTCCTTTAAAATGAAACGTTAAGGTGTGTAGATAGCGAGTGGCTCTGAATCAGTCATTTATCTACACAGTAAGTATGGGTCGTACTTACTTGACAATGCCCTGCCTCCAGGGGAATGCAAGTTAAAACACAACACAGATATTAAGAGTTTCTACGAGCAAAGCCAGAGAGCAGCGGCGACACTCAGGAAGTAAGGGTACCACAAAGGGACAAATCACAGCTTCACCTACATCGGGGCGGGTAACGGACACCTCTGGGCCTTTTCCACGGCTGGAAGTTAACGGACGGGAAGCAAAAGCTGAACCTGTGATGTATGAACTTTAAAGATCTACAAACCAGAACACTTCAGCTGCAGCACAGAGAAGCCAGAACCGTGAGGTGACACCAGAACAACGGTGAGACAACTGAAAGAAAAGCCCACATCTGTAGTCAGAAGGAGAAACACACCTACAGTCGTGACTCCATAATCGACCCTTAACAATCCTAAACCTGCTGTCCAACAGGTTTTTAGGAAAAACCACCAGAACCCATAAAAGCAGCCTTAACATAGCGACAGCCTTGGATTGTGACTCCGACATGACATTTAATGTCACCAATCAGGATGACGGCGTATTATCTGACTGAACAATCCCACAGATTGGCTACGTTCACACTGCAGGACTTGATGCTCAATGAGGATTTCTTTGTGACTTCCTTCACGTTTCCACTTCAATGCGACTTGTATGTGATCTGCTGTGTGAACTTCATACGAGCCAAAAGTGTCCCGCATGCGCAGAAGAGGACACGACGACGTCACACGCAGCGAGCGTGCTCAGTGTTTACGGAAGTAAACATGGATGGTAACGGTGGAGCGTATCTGCCACTCCCCCGCCGCCACCGATGGAGGAAACAGAAGTGTGAGCGCTAACTAAACTAGCATCAGCAGCCAAGTACTGCCTGTGTGTTCTGGACACTTCCACCCCGTCAGAGCGCTGCCCCGGGGTGGAAGGGTCCCCCGACCCGCCGAATGTTCTGATATTCGTCATTAATTGAGACCAGAAAGTGCTACTGGGACCAGCCCTACTAGTTCTTATAACAACTATGAACACTAATGAACAACTAATGAGCCTTCCAGCATCAAGCCCTCCTCGTATCTGGACCTCCGTCTGGACAATCCGACATAGAAGAAGGTTTTATGTTTAGTGTCGGGTTATCGAGTCACGACTGTAGTTTTAAATAAATAACTTTCAGATTAAAGGGCTTTTATACTTTTACACTTCTGACGTGTTCAAGACGCAGTGAAAGAGAAAAGCTGTAATCAGACAGTTTAATGAGTTCAACTGAAACGCATTGATGGTGAAAAATCAGCAGCACACTGACTTTTCTAAACAGCTTTTTTGGAATTAGGGCAAAAAGTCAAACACTGACTGTTTGTGTGGATCACTGCTTCCTGTGGTGGAAAAGGCCCGTCCTGTGTCTGCACCAAAAACCACTAAAACCTCCTCTTCTGACCCGTTTAGTCGTGTTTTTAGCCACATTTCCTCCTCCGAGTGGAGAGCAATTCGTTTTTAATTTGGTGTTAGAAGCTCACACATCTGACTTCTATTATTTGTAGAACAGGTTTGTGCCTTTGCGGTGCTCTTTGTTGTTGAGTGTTCTGAACAAAGAAGCTCACAGACACCCAAATCATAATCACTCGTTTGCGTGTGCACCACAGCAGAACCACAGAGGTCCGATCGACCCGGCAGAAGCCTTCACATGCAATAAATCCTTTTGGTTTGAAGTAACACACAGGTACACAAGTCCAGATACACACAGACACACACACGGCAGCACAGGAACACACACTCACATGAAGGTGTTGGCATGACGTTTCAGAACCACAGAACCGGACGTGTGAAGAGTTTAAAGCTGCATCAAGTAGAACCGAACCGCCTCTTTATGATCACTAAAGACAGTTTGCTTTACTCACATCCTTCAGTCTGAACTCAGACGTGGTTCAACGAGGCTCCAGAGAGCAAACAAAACCTCATCAGGACCAAACCAGCATCTATCGGATCCGTCCGGTCGGTGGACGAATCGCTCAGCTTCTACTGAGGTAAACACGACATTAAACGTCTTATTTTACTCTTTTAAACTAGTTTTTGGTCTCACAGCTGCTGCAGTAGCTGATGCTGTTTATTTTCTGCCTGACTTAAATTCAGTCCAGAATAAAGTGTAATCAGATTACCACAGACTGAATCACAGCGAGGAGGCGGAGTAGGTACGCATCAGTGGAAGTTTTTGGTTAAATATTTCTCTTTCAGTTACAATTTTAAGAAAACTCTCAAGACAAACATGCTGTCAGTGGATTGTTATTGCTCCTAAAATGTAAGTATTTTAAATTTACTTTGTTTAAAAGAACATTTTTACAGTTTTTATCCTGTTTTCTGTTTTGCTATTTGTACTTTTTTTTATTGTCTCCTGTGTCCAGAACTTTGCTCAACTCTGGTTGAATAAATAAACCTAGAATCACAATATTGAGCATTTTACATTCACATTTTTCCCACCAAACACCAAAATCTGATTGGTTCCACGTCACAACTAACATCCAGTAAAGCTCCTTCAAGCCACCATGACAGGTTTTGCTCAGCGACCCACAGACCTTAACCTGTTCAAAGACTCTGGGGGACAGCGCCACCTGATGGCTTGCAGGCGTCATAACTACTGAGGTACAGAGCAGCCAGAACGAAGGAGCCTGTGAGCCTGAGCTGAGGGCAAAGAAACCCTGGCGTTAAGGACACGAATCTCTCAGGGCAGAAGTGAAGCAAAAGTCTTTTTTTTTTTTTTTAAAGATTATTTTTCAGGCCTTTTTTTTATAGGTAGAACAGTGTGAGAGTGAGACAGGAAAGGGGGGAGAGACCTGCAGCAAACTGTCGTGAGCGGGAGTCGAACTCACGACCGCCGTGTCGGGGAACTACAGCCTGCTCATGGATCAACCAGGTGAGCTATGGGGCGCCCAGGCACAAGTCAGTTTGACACCTGTGAGGCCTGCTTGACTGGTAACTGGTGTCTGTATTTCCAGCACTTGTAGCCAAATACTTGGACTCTTCATCTATAGTATCTCTGTACACATTCACAAACCTCCGACAGACACACATTCACTCATAGTTTTGCTCCAACACGTTTCCTTCAGCAGTTTATTCCTTCCACGTCGCCCATAAGTTGTTTGGTGCAGCTTTAAACTCTGGTCCAACAATCTGATACGAGGCTGCTGGAAACAGCCTGTTGTCATGGTGACGGTGTGTGTCGGTGTGTGTCGGTGTGTGTGTGTCGTATACCTCTCCTCGGCAGACAGCTCCTTCAGCTGCTGGTGAGGTTTGGTTCCTCTCATCTCTCGGATGCTGACGGCGTACATCTTGGTGGTGTAGTCCACCGTCTTCTCTCGGGCGACGTCGCTGTCGTAGCCTGAACACACGTTAGGAGGACGTTTACTTTAGAAGCTTTAATTAGTTAAATATCCATCCATCCATCATCTCTACACCTTCATCCTCACCAGGGTCATGGGGGGCGGAGTCTATCCCAGCTGACTCAGGGTGATGGCAGGTTCACCTGGACAGGTAACCAGTCTATCACAGGGCTACACTTAGAGACAGACAACCAAGCACACTCACATTCACACCTACGGACAATTTACAATCACCAATTAACCTCAGCATGTTTCTGGACTGTGGGAGGAAGCCGGAGAACCCGGAGAGAACCCACGCTGCACGGGGAGAACATGGAGACTCCACGCAGGAAGATGTGTCCTCACCGGGACGCGAACCGGCGACCTTCTGGCTGCTAATGATGCTAACCACTATTTAAATATTGTGTTGCTTCATGTGGTTTCTATCAGGAGCTTCTATTTTGCTGCATGCTGTGGATGATTTACACCAACAATATTCTCTTCTCCTTTTATTTTTGCTCTGTCTACTCTTAACAAACCTCGCTGATGTTTTTATTTTATCTTTATGATAGATCCATTGATGGCTGTGTTATAAAAGCACCTGATCCATCAGACGGTCTCACCTCCGTCCTCCTCGATGTCGTCGTCCGACTCCTCGCTGTCCACAGGTGGCCGGTTGTCTCTGAACAAAGACCCCTCCCCCTCGCCGCTGGCTCCGCCCCCTCGCTCCCGGGCCCAGATCATGAGGGCGGTGTCGGCCCCGCCCACCGTCAGCAGCGTGGAGTCGTCCTGGGCCCAGCGGACGTTGGTCACCTGAGCGCTGTGGCCCACGTAGCGCTTGAAGCGAGCGTACTGACCCTGCAGCGGGAAATGAACACAAAGTTTTAAAGCTGGTTTTACAGATTTAAAGTCTTCAAACCACCAAGAGCAATGACTCCAAGGATGTGATGGAGACCAAAAACAGAGCTAATAGAGATTAAATATCGCATTAAATTCATCATATAGACACAAACACAGCAACTTTTTGTCACCATGTTGACTCTATTAACTCCAGACAGTGGTGCCGTGTCAGTATTGGTTGTCTTGCGGTTGTGCTTGCGGTTGTGTTTGTGTGTCGTACTCTGACGGGGTATCCGAACAGTTTGAGGAAGCCAAAGTCGTCTCCGGTGGCGAGCAGCGTTCGGTCTCTGGTGAGCGTGGTGGCGTTGACGTCGGTGATGTCGCTGTGCGTCGGCCAGATTCCCTCACAGCTGGAACCCAGAACGCAGGTCCAGCTGGACCAGTCGACCCGCTCCAGCTACACACAACACAACACAAACAACCGCACGGTGAAGGCAGACAGACGGGAATCAGAAGCAGATACAGTCCAAACCATATGCTTTTTAACTGTTTATGGTGCTAATGTCTCCTTGCATCCGTTCTCTTCTCATGACCTGAAACTTGTCCCGCTTTACACCATCACGGAGAATCTTCCAGCTACGTAAATGCACATCGAAGAAAGAGGTGAATCATAACTCTGACCTTATCACTGAAAGATTACACAAGAAAAGGATGCGAGTGGAGGAAGCAAGGAGACACGCTGGCATCAAGAAAAGCACCAATAACTTCCATGTTGTCAGACTTCACCTGTAATCAGATGCCTGGGAACTTAAACCAGAACACAGCCCCTGTTTAATAATAGTCACTGATTCTAAATGGAGTCGCCTCATAATTACTAAGTTAAGTGTTTCCTCCCATGAACCATCAAAAACAAACACTGCAGAAAGACTATCTGGAGGATTCAGGCCCTAAAGTGACAAACAAAAGAGAATAAAGAGCGTGATCAACAATCAGCCGTCCTGAAACCAGCCTGGTCTGGACGTTCACGCCTCACCTCAGAGTTTCTGATGGTTTGTCTTTTTCCTCTCGGGGCTTCGAAGAAAAGTTGCTCTTTGGCTCCAGTGTTCACCTGCAGCAGTTTACCTGCACGGAAAAACACACATGAAACACATTAACAAAGAGTGAATAAAACTGACAAAATAATAATAAAAAAACTAGAGTTTATGTTCAAATGTTTTATTCATTGGACGTACTTGGAGGTTTCACTATGTTCTAGTCCTGGTTGTTCTGTTTCAGTGGAGAAGGAAACAGAAACAGCTACAGAGAGTTAAATCCCACCTCCTGCTCTGTAGCTACATGTTTAAAACCTGGAGGCTTTAGGTTCTTCGTAACGCTTCATACTGGACTCTGATTGGCTCCAGGTTAGCTGTGACGTCATAAACCCTGCAGGTGTGTCCAGAGGGCTGCACTACGAAGCCAGA